GGGCCTCAGCCTTCCTTGTCGCATCCCTGCACACTCTGACAACGTCCCTGTATTCCTCCCAAGTGGCCTGTCCCCTTTGCCACATTCTGTAGAGTTTCTTCTTTTGTTGGAGTTTCGCCAGGAGTCCCTTGCTCATCCGTGCAGGTCTCCTGCCCGCTTTGCTCGACTTCTTCCTCAGAGGGATGCACTGCTCTTGAGCCTGGAGGAGGTGATGCTTGAATATTAACCAGCTTTCTTGGACCCCTCTTCCTTCCAGGGCCCTACCCCAGGAGATTCCCCTAAGTAGGTCCCTGAAGAGGCCAAAGTTAGCTCTCCTGAAGTCCAGCGTTGCAATCCTACTCATTGCCCTGCTCCCTCCTCGTAGGATCCTGAACTCCACCATCTCACGGTCACTGCAGCCAAGGCTGCCCCCAACCTTCACCTCTCCAACTAGACCTTCTTTGTTCGTTAGTACAAGGTCTAGCATTGCGCCTCTCCTTGTTGTCGTCTCCACCACCTGGGTCAAGAAATTATCATCAGTGCTTTGCAGGAACCTCTTTGACTGTTTGTGCCTAGCTGTGCTGTCTTCCCAACAGATGTCAGGTGAAACAATTAGCATATTTTTGTTCGAACATGGATTATACAATATATACGTGGCAAATACTGTGTTTTATGGTATTTAATCCATAGGCTGTTTAAAAAGCCCTGTAATTAAGCATCAGTAGCAGTCAAGATATAGCAACAGTTTATTCCACAAATCCCTTTCTCACTAGAAATCGTTCTTTTTACTTTTTATTTTGTGTTTAGGTCTCTGAACTGGTACAGTCTGTCAAAAGGAAACAGTATCTGGAACACACTGTATTATTTCAAACATCTGTGCTCCTTTAAAATTACAGGCTATCAGACAGGAAGATTATGTACATGTCCATATAAATAAATTATATGGAAATACAGTGTGTATATTTGTACACACTCATGCATGCCTCATCAAACTACAGCAAGTGGGAAACAGAGTAATTGCCAAACAGGTTAGAGGGGCTCCTACTTTTCTAAGAGACTGTTCAACCAGATTCTTTGCCCCTCCTATGTTAATAACTGCATGGGGAAAACTCAAAGGGGAATGTATTAATGAATTTAGGGGGAAAAGTCCTCCCTAAAAGAAGGAGAAAGTGAGATGTTATTTTACTGGATATACCACTATCCACATAATCGGATGCAAGGCTTTGCTGTGTTAACAGAATATTAAGTGACCCAGGACACACACACACACACAACACTGAAGTGCTGTCCTGGATTACATGATGCTACTAAGTGCAGTCATGAAGTCCAATGAGTAACATCGACTGCTCAATTTACTTGTGGTCTCAATTTATACCAACAGTGCCTTGAAAAATCTAAAAATATCACTGATGTCAGGATAGGCATTCCTCTTCTGCTAGGCAATACTTTGCCTTTTTTTTTTCATCCTGCCCTGGCATAAGTAAAGCCTGTGTCACATCCTGTCAATGCATGAAAAAGCAGAAGAGACAAATGTTGCTGTTACAACAAAGACTGCAAGGATCATGCAGTTTTTCCCTCCCATACATAAATAACATACATTCTTATTTTTTTGCAGCATGATCATCATTAGAAGAACGGTGATTTCCATACTCCGTTCTAATGGCTGTTTTGTGGTATATTTGACAAGATGTGCCAGCAACAGAGAAGTAATTATTCCTTTGTGTTTTCAAAGCATTGTCTTTTGGCTGCGATTAACAAGACATACCAAAGTCAGCAAAAACTCTTTGTTGTCTCTGCTAATTGTTAGCCAGAATTTGAAAATTCAGCCTTTTTTCCCCCTTCGATGGTTAGCTGAAAGCTTTTCTGATGTGCAGGCGAGAACTTTAAATATTTGTTTATCTATACAGCGAAAACTATTCAACATCAGATCTCAAATATAAGAATTGCTAGGAGGTGCTACTGTAAGTCTGCAAGATTGACTTGCTATAGCTACCAGTACTAATTTTCCTGTCCACATCAGTTTTTTTTTTTTTTTAATCTTTAACCAAGAGAGAATGGCTTTCCACACAGAAAAGACTATAGAACCATATAGCTTACTATCTTGTCTTCAGCACAGGTCAGCAGAAGATATATAAACTAAACTATTGATTTAATGTGATTACCATTAAATCCTTGATATTGATTAAAATGGACAATTAACAGCATAAATGTAGACCAAGTTTCTTGTTATTTCAGTCTTTCATCCTCATCAAGACCCAGGAATGGGATTTTTCAAAAGGCTGAGCAAATTGAACTTCCACAATATCAACTGGCATTGCACTTAATCAGAACATCTGAAAACCAAAACCTTCATCTCTGAAATGACAGCCTTCCAAATGAATATAATTATTTTTGGAATGAAAACCACAAACTGCTTTTGAAAATTACTAACCTGGAATGCCATATGGTTCTTGGACAGAGAGAAAAGGTAAAACCCTGGACTATTTAATGGATGGGATTTTTTTCTTCAGCACAGTAGGAAAAAACTCTCTCCTTACCTCTATTTGTCTTGAAAAATGTTATTAGTATATCCAATGCCACTTCAATCAAAGTAACAAATAGGGCTTAATTTCTCCCTAAATTCTACAGGGTGACACGACTTCCTTAATTATAATAAACCTGCTAGAAACACAACTTTATCACATTTCCCACAAAAGCAGAGATTCCAAAAATAGTGATTTGGGGCCAAAATACATCAGCCCAAAGCAAAATTTTTCCACAATTTTAAAAAAGACTCCTAAAGCAGGAGTCTTGAATAACTCCTTGGGTCATACCACTTTTACCAGTCTTCTGCTTTACTTCACATAGAAGTACAGCTCAAAGGCAACAGATGATAAAAGTAAGAATAAGCTGTTTTATTTTCAGGACTGCATTTATTCTAGAAATAAATTAATCTAAAAATGAAAACATATTTTAAAGATCAGAGCAGCAAGTGAAAATAAAAAAGCTTCAGCTTTTAAATCCTCAAAATTCACTTAAAATGAAAACATTTACCTGCTATTAGCTTTTGGAGGACACTCTTATCTCCATTAACAGCAGCAGCATGCACTTCAGATGCTAATGAGGAACCACTGAAGAGGCAGTTCGTTGAAACATTCATACTCTTTCAAAGTATTATCATAGGTCAGATCTGCACCACCAACATTTTTTGTAGGAATTCAGTTCTAGAAAAACAATAAAATACAATTCATATTTACTGATATATTGTTAAGATTACTAAGGCAACACTGAAGAGAATAAATTGTCCTTTTTAAAAAAAAAGAAAAGAACACACACACGTCGTATTTCATGGGTTAAATCCATCTCTAGTCAAGGTTCAACCAGACAAAGCCTACATTAAGGATATATATTACAGCTTTGTTACCTTCAACATAAAATTCAGTCCATAAGATTTGCAAATGGCTGCAAATAGGATAGTGTGCATATACAAATACACTAGTTAGATTGTTCTTAAGAGCGTTGGCATGCATGCTTCAAATCAGTAACAAGTGATACTTGATACACTGTACTTAATATCTGGTGATATTTTACCATGATGGTCTATGGACATAAGCAGGACAAGGTTTTAAGCAGAAGTAGTATCTTTTATTTGATCAACTGGCATAACTGGAAAAGTCAGATCAGCTCTATAACTCTTCTTCAAATCTGAAACAGAAGTAGCAAAAATGTGCATGCAAGAAAGCCACAATGAATCAGACCAAAAGTCTGGCCTTAAATCCTGGCTCAAATTAGTCAATGGTAGATGCCAAAGAACAGTGCAAATATATGATTTTTCCCCCCCTTTTCTAAATATTCTTCTAAACTGCAATCATTTCTAGCTCAGTCACTTTGTGCACTTGACTTGATTTCTGCACATTTAGAACTCAACAAATTCTGTTAATTTCTTCAAAGAATTTCTCTTTTATAAACTCATCCAGTCACCTCTTAAGTTTATATATAAACTTAATCATATCCACAACATCCACCGGTAAGGCCTTCTACAGCACAATCAAACACTTGCATGGATGAACCTCCTTCTTTCCTTGACTTGATTCTTGCTACTGGCTTCACTTGAGGGCCATTAATTCTTGCACTGGAAGAGCCATCAAGCAATCAATTCTTATCCATCAGTCATTATTTTACAGATTTCTAACATATCCTCCGCAATCACGTTCTCCTCCAGCTGAGAGTTCTAGCTTACTTAACTGTTCCCTAGGCAGAAACTTTCCTATATCTATGTCCATTTAAATTAACCTCTTCCAGTTCCATAATATCCCTTTTCAGATGTAAGGAAACGGGGATGAGCCAGAACTCCACTACGTATTCAAGATACAGACAGAGATTTATACAGTGGTATAACAACATTCTCTCTATCCTTCTCTTTTTCTTTCCTAAATTATAGCTGCCATTGCAGTTGCCTCTTTAGCTGCTTCTGAAATGAAATTGGTACTTTCATTTCACTAATCAATAAAGCCTAACTAATGAGCCTCAAAATCCTTATAATCATCAGCTCAAGCCCACACAGTGTTTCAGAACTGAAGAAGGGTCTCCATGTTTGAAAGGTTGTTGATTTTTTCCAACAGCATCAAACAATTGAACAAAAATATAGCACTTCTACCTTCAAGTATATTACCCTATTACCTTACAATATTTAATATTTGGAACGGAAAGCAAACTGAAGCGAGTAAAGAATTATTGTGCATAGCAGGAAAAAAGGGGCAGGAATCACTGAGGCTGCCTACAGAATGAATTTGAGATTTTTTCACCCCATCTTCTGTTCCACGTTGATTTAAATTTACTTCTTCTGTGATGTCCCACATTTACACTGTAGTACACTTTGAAAACAGTGAGAGGAAACTATTTTGCTTCAGTTGTTATTTTGATCCCTCTTTATTTAATAAATTTCTTATATGGGTGTACAGCATTTGTTTTTTATTAAGATACCATTTTGGGGGAAATGATAGAAAAATCTATTCACTTTTATGTTAAAAAAGTGAAATTTTCTATACACAGATATTAAACATGCAGGAATGAAAGAAAAAGCCTTTATCATGGGAAAAAATAATCTTCAAATACAGTTGAATAGTCTAATGTAATAGTAGTCTCTGCCTCACAAGTTCCATGCTCCATTGGAGAACAGATAAGAAAATTAATACAGGAAGCTTCATAGTAAATCTAATCAACTACTCAGACATCCGCACAGTCATGGTATTGGTTCATATCACATCACTGGAACAAGCACAAGTACAGAAGCGTGTACTACCTGGTTGGGCAAACCTGCTCAACAACGTATCAATATAGCGCATCTACTCTATATGAAAGCACTCACATACAACTAAGACACTGCCTAAGTACAGCACACCACAGTCGCATCTAGACTTGTTTCACTATGTTGTCCTCAGTGGCACTCTATGCCACTTCTAAGAGCAGATAATCGTATCACTGAATATTCTTTTCCTAAAGACTATTTGCCTAAGTTTTACTGAGCCATAACAGAAGGTTGATGAGGTCCTCATAACTAAACCACCTTACCTTCCAACCTTTCTGCCCCACAAAAAAGTAGTAACAGTGTGACTAGAAAGGCATGAAGTCCTAGTCTGCCTAGCTACACACACTGGAATGTCTTACCATGGGAACACTTCCCTGTGTTCATGAACCTCCTCCTGTTATCTATCAGTTGCTTCAGAACCAGGGAGTAAGCACATCATCCAACATCCTCACTCCCTAAAGGAGTACATTATGGGGACATGCATTCCACTAGTGGCTCATCAGATTTTAAAGAAATCTATTTTCTGAAACCTAACTTTTGTTTCAGGCACCACTATATATTACTTCAGAAATCACCCTAGTCACTTACCCAGTGCTGGCAAGCTGACTGTTGGGTATGTATGGCGTTTTCACCTGTCTGAAGTGACCAATTACCAGGGCACAGTACTTTGCTTCTGCACCAGCACAGGTTCACTCAGCTGAGAACACCGGTGCAAAGGCACTACGACGTGCTCCTCACATAAATTCTGGAGCCATTTCTGGTCATCTGAAACCTATGGAATGGTATCATCCTGTCCTACCACTCTCCTCTTCTGCAAGTGCTACTGCAAACCTCAGAATAACGTGACAACCTCAGTGTTCCATATCTCTTCCTCAAGTCATGAATGCTTGCATTCTTACTGAGTTCAGTGAATTGCTCTGCATTTCAGAAAACATAGCAAGCATTTTTGACACATCTGCTTTACATTGTAAGTAGGTGATCTTCCTCCATTACCAAAACAGAGTTATTAATGGATTCATGGCAAGGTTAAATTCTGTGAGCAGACAATAGAAAGGAAGTGGAAGAGTCTAATGTAACGGGGGGTTAAAATCAGTTCCACCTTTAGGGCCATGGAAGAAAGACAAACAGTGCCACAATGCACCACAGCAAATTACAGAAGGCTGAACTACACTCAGTGCTTAAGAAAGCCAACGAAAGTGCAGATGCATATATGACAATACTGAGCGGACAGAGCTCACACAAGCACAAACCTGAATTTATCTTAAGATAGTTGCTAACATAAGTATGCTGTAACAGCCTTTCCAACATTTCTAGTGCTAGCCACACTCATTTTTTCCTTTCAAGGAGGATAAAGAATATCCACTTCTTTCAAAATACTTGCACGGCTCTCTGCTTTCTGAATATCCTCTCCTCCTTCAGTGAAACAGCTTTTCAACTTTTAAGGACATGTAATCAGCAAGTTTCCTTCCAAGGAAGGAACTCTTCCTCCCAATTTAGCAGTATGGCTTTTTTTCCTGTTATTTTCCCTAGGTTACACTGAAGATAAGCAGATGAGCCATTTCTGATTCACATTAATTTGAACCAAGCAGAAGAGACAATATGAAACTGAGTGTTAATTACAAACTGTTGCAGCACCTCCCACACCTAAACTATTAATCTCTCCTCCTTCCCCCTCGATATTCCTATAGCTACATAAATTTGCCTCCTACATGAAAGAAACACTACACTATTCAGCTACAATCTGAATAGCAGACAAGAGGGAGAAGGCAGAAGGCTGCAGAACTGGGTCCTGTGACACATAATTTAACATGCACTTGTCATGCAAGACTACAGCTTGCCTTTAACTTGTCTCCACTTTTTCCCAAAAAGCTTCCTCTGGATAGGGAGAACATGCCAAGAGTCTATTATATGCACCACTGGAATTTTATACTTGTGGGGATTCTGAGGTACTATTTTTATTCCCCAAAATTATTACTGATGCCTTTTCTTCCATCTTCTTTACTTTTTACCTGCAGATTTTTCCCTTCCACTTTCATTCCAGCTAATCTCGAAATTCACTGTTGGAAGCGATTTCTTCAAGACTTGTCTGCCTACTGCATCTGAGTACTCTGGACAATCCATTAAAACAAGTGAAGCTTTCTGCTTCCATCTCTTGTACTACCTATGGTGAATGCCCCAAAAAAGGTTTGTAGTCTGGAGTTTTCGGTAGGATTAAGAAACAAGCTTTTCCTCATGCACTGAGGGTATAGCATAGATAAAAGTCATTTGGTTCTGACGTGCTTCAGTCTTCTATGCGATCAAATAGAACTAAATAAAGGATGTTCTAAACAGAAACTTAATAAAATGAATTCAAAAGCACATGAGCTAAGAATTCACTGTTTAAATACACACCAGGAGAACCTAAAAACCAAGCTTGGTGTGTGTTTTTTGTTTTTTTTTTTTTTTTTAAATCTTAGAAGAAGTCTACAACAGTTCTTGGAGAAGAACATGAGGGATCAACATTCTGGGAAGCACAAAACACTGATTAAATTCTGAAGCAAAGCAAGGCTTTACTTCCAAGCTAAGGTCCACATCAATTTGGAAATGGAACTGGCAGTAACAGTAGCTGCAAAATTTGCGTCAGCAAAGCTTTGTTAGTATTTTTACTACCATATTTGCTAAATCTAGTTTTTGGTAAGGTTATGAAAAAAAGTTACAGACCAGTTATGAGAAAAAAAAATGAAGTTTTGCCTACCTATCTCTACCAATGTCGATAAGATAGTTTAATTAGCACCAATTTTATTTAGAAATTCCACATTTTGATAGTCCTTACATAGTCACCACAAAAGGTAAGAAGAGGAATAAGATAATCATCTTACTGCACATATGGAAGTGAACAAATAAAACATGACATAAAACCTCTGAAGGTAGCAAAGTAAAATTCAGTAAATGCTGGAGATGTTAATATAGCATCAGAAGCATCCCAACTATAAATCAACAAAAATATAAAACTGGCTTCATACAGAGAAGAATACTGAAGGATGATCATAATTTCTAGACAAAAACAAGAGCCCTATCTGTATAAAGTACAAGTAATCATACAGGGTAGAGAAGCAACCAGTTTCCTCCAGAGCAAGTATGAGCAATTACCACACCTCCATTTAAAGCTCTAATATTTCAGCATTTCTCTGATCCAGTAAGTAACTATAAAAGGAAAATTCATAATTGCCTTTAGATATTTCTCTCATGCATATGACAAACATGAACTGGTACCTGGAGGACTGGCTTGATAAAGTTCCTCATTAACAACAAAACGTGATATGTATTTGTAAGGGATGAAAAACAACCACGAGAATCAAGAAAAAAACTACAAGGTCCATTTATAAAAAGGTACGTAATTGGCATTATCTCTAATACACACCATATCACTAGAGTCAAGTAAATAATTCACTTTTTCTTTTTTAAGCTAACACGCAGAGAAAAATTAGTCTCATCAAGACATCTAAAATACAAGGAGAGTCATATGATCACCAAAAGGGCTTCAAAGTATGTGAAATTTCACATCAAACTATGATAATTCTACTTTGCATCACACAGATAATTAGAGTTAAATCATTTCTCTTCCTAACAAAAAAAAAAAAAATTTGTTAAATTCTAGAACAGTAAGACTGCTATATCGAATTTTATGGCTAAATATGCCTAGTACAGAATGAGCACTGATGAAAAAAGCAAAGTATTTATAAATATGATTAAATTCAGAAGCCAGAGGTCTTCATTTTGCAGATTAAGGTAAATACAGATTTTTTAGGCAGATTTTAGCAGAACTGATAAAGTTAGGTTCTTATTTCAGTCTGTAAATACAGACATGACTTGTATACATATTAGTGTGCTTACCTCACAAAAATGACAGGCCAAATGATTTTCCCAAGGCTGCACATGAAGTCTGTGCCAGTCAGGCTTGATTTGCAGTAAGCTGATATGGAGGATTTTCTTTTAAATGCAGTTGTGCCCTGTTTCACTCCTCACGCTCCTCCATATGCTTGTGTACTTACTGGAAATGTGAAAAATACAAAAAAAAAAAGTTTTCTATGATCTTTTTGAGAAAGCTCTGCTAGGTCTTAAGGGTGTGTGTATATATATATATGTGTGTACATATATATACATGTATATATATATTACAAGCTCTAAAGCTTGCAATACTGAAAAATACTGAAAAGGAAGCACTGATTTGTTAAGTGTTCTTCCTCTGAAACATGTAGAGCTTAGTACGTTTAAGGAAGAAAAAATGTTTTCTACTGTGATTAAAATTCAAGATGATGTTCAGCTTTCACCATACTATTCGCTGAAATTTCAAAACTCTCTAAGTCACTTCACTTACTCCCACTTCTGTTTTACAGAAACGCTTCATGCTCTCAACCTCTCCAAGAAAATGAGCACCTAGATATTCCTCATCTTCACCACAACCCTGAAACCGAAGCTGTTTTCACAGTCTGGGTTCGCTGAAATTTCAAAACTCTCTAAGTCACTTCACTTACTCCCACTTCTGTTTTACAGAAACGCTTCATGCTCTCAACCTCTCCAAGAAAATGAGCACCTAGATATTCCTCATCTTCACCACAACCCTGAAACCGAAGCTGTTTTCACAGTCTGGGTCGCCACCGGGCCACGGCAGAACGCGCAGCCGAGCACACGACGCCGCTGCCCCCACCCAGCCGCACGCGGGGGCTTTGGAAAAACCCTCGGGCTCGGTGCCCGCCCCACGCCGCCTGCTTACGTAACGCGGCAACAACGCCCCGGCTGCCGTCGCATTTGGGCCCCTCCAGCGTTTTTCGGGCGATTCGTCCGAGTTGCGGGCTAACTCCCCTCCTGGGTGCGTGCACCCACGAGGGCTTTCCCTCGGCGG